CGCCCCGCCGCGGGCCGGGGGAGACGCGGCACAGCCCGAGCGAAGTGACCACCCAGGGGAGCCGGGCAAACCACACCGACATGCCCCGGCACCACGCTCTGCACCTATCAAGAGCAGGAGGAAACCTGCGAACTCCTAATTTAGCTCAATTCGTGTCTCTCCACCCAAAGCTCACGTGCTTTTGCTGGACTTTTTTTTTTTTTTTTTTTTTTTTTTTTTCCCCCCACCCCTGCCACTCTCTAAAACTCAGAATTTTCCCAGCAATGCACAAACTGAATGCATAACTGAAGCTCTAAAGGGGCTCTCAGCTTTCTCCTCAGCAGTTATTCCTCCCAGAGAAATAACATTTCTGACCATGATTTTCCTCAAGAAAACCTTTCGTCTTCCATGTGCATGTAACTGTCACGTAGGAACATTCACTTCCAGATGCTGAAATTAGATTAAAATTAATGGCACAAGGATTTATAGACTGTTCCTTTTTGGATTATTTCTTAATCCCGTGTGGCAGCAGGAGTAAATGCTGACAACTTCTCCTCTGCTGATGCATAATTAGTTTATGTATGTCGATTGTTTCTTTCACTGAACTGCTCCTCTCGTGGTGACTCTTTGTTTTACTTTAAGGCAGTAACAAGTCCCAGTGAAATCCAGGGTGCATAGTGTGGCAAAATGGAAAGGCTCTGGAGAATTTCAAGCATTCACATTTACACCTGCTGAAGCCTTCCTATTCAACACTGCTTCTTTTTGGTGCTGGTGGGTTTGGGGACTTTTTTTCCCCCCTGTTGTTTTAGTAACCATTTCCCAGACCCAGAATACAGTTGTACCCAAGAGATGTAAATATCCCTACAGAAGCAGACAGGCTCCTGTCCATAACTCAAACACATGGTCCCACAGGGGGATGTGTGTGATGAGGAAGGCTGTTCTGACAGGATAGAGATGTGCTGACTTGCTGAGGCATTCAAAGGAGATTAGTAGATGTGTTTGCACAGCTTTAGGAGTTAACACTTTCAAGGTGCATACATGACTTTGCATAGCCAGGCAGGCAGAGGCCAGGGAGTCCCCTCTCACCCAGTTTTATGCTGCATGTGGCACACGTCAGACCTCCTTGGAGTGACTAGGGTGATGTCCTTCAAAAAGGCACCTAATATGAATCAATGTTGACATTCTGATGAAGAATCCTTTGTTTTTTTGGAGTCATTTGCTAATAACAAAGTCACTCTCACCCTTTATTAGTTGTCATCAGTGTGCTGAACATGACTGGCATCTTCCGGATGCCAGTTCTTATCCTGTCTGTTCATGTCAGAGAGCTGCAGTTCTCTCCATGGAACTATCTCTTTGCTATCAACATGTTACCTCCTTAATATAAAGGTTTTCTAAGTTCAAGACAAGTCTGTACATTTACATGTACAACAGGGAAAATCAAGGCAACCACTTTTCTTTGTATTTTGAGGGAGTTCCAATTAGAAGACAATTAGAAGACACAGACAATTTCAGCCAGAGGGGTATCAAACTGCTATTCCTGTTCTAACTTATGGCCTGTGTCTGAGATTCTTGGAGGCCTTTTTTTCATTTAGCTTTTCCTCTAAAAAAGTGATTTACTTGTAAAAGGCTATCAGACACAAAAGCAAAAATAACTTGCCAAAGAGACTGCCACTGAAAGTTGTGTGTAGTTTTATTTCAACATATCAAGCACAAACAGGTTTCCCCTAACTGGGGAATATGACGAGGAATGTACTTAAAAATTTGGAAACATTTACACTGAAAGATAGCCCAGACTGGCACCACCACTAAGTATTTTAAGGCTGTATATATAGCAGTACTTACCACTTGGAACTACTTCAGGCCAGAAAAGAAAGGCTTAGTATTGTCCGCAGTCTACAGAAAATATTGCAAATCTTTAAAAAATGGTGTAAAATAGGAAGACTATTAACAGAGTTGAACAATGCAGTGGCAAAACCCTCCCTCTTTCCTGACCTTTGACAATAAATGTGCCTAAGACCGAACACACATACACCTATATCACTCCCATCCTTCTCACCTATGCTGGGGCAGTGGATTTCTCTCTACAATGCTAGTGTGTGATATTATAAAACAGCCATATAGCAAATAATAACAATAATAATAAGTGACCAGGTTTTACAAACAGGCATGTCTGGCATTACACTCGATGGGCCAGATCCAGGACACCAATCAGCTCCGTCACCAAATGAGGAGCTTTCACTGAATACTTCCCATTTCCTAAAGATGAATGGCTCTAGGAAATTGTGCACATTTACAGTTCCTGTGGAATGGAAAATGAAACACATCCTGAGGTCCCATTCTGTGTATGCTGACAAAACAGATTGTGACTTAATATCCTGGGGGTGGATTTTTCGACCAAGTGTGCTCCCTCCCATAATTAAAGGCAGCCAGACAGGTACCATGGACATCATTTCTTTACAGCTCCCCAACTGCATTCCCTCACTCGTGGAGCTATGACCCAGGCCGGCATGACCTTTCCAAAATGCTGGGGTGTTTACCATTTTGGGGTTACCAATACTGCTGGGTAATTATTAATTGCATCAGAAAATGACAAGACATAGAAAACAAATTGCACAATTAAAGCTACATTTGGCTTCAGCATTAAGGCCCGTACAGGTTAAGAGGTCCTTGAAGATGTACATGTAAAAGGCAAAAATGACATAATCTGAAGGAACAAAGTTTTGCAGGTTCCTAGGTCCCTTTTTAACCTTGTTTTTCCACTTTCTTCCACCTCTGCCGTGTTGGTTCTAAAGTGCTTTGGTGCCTCGCTGGGCTCCTTGCGTGAGTGGCCCCCTCCTGCAGCCAGTAATCATTATTGCTGCCAAACGTAGTGATTTTATTTGAAGACATAATTAATGAACAGTTGACACGTAAGGAAGATGCAGAGGAGAAACCAACAGCGAGAGTCCAGGAGGAAGCTTTCAGAAGAGACCTTCCTGTGGAAGGACTTTTTGTTCAGAGCACTGAGGTTTCTGCAAAAGAAAGCAGTATGATTATTTGTCTGTAGGAGGGAGGTGTGCCAGAACACAGAACTTCAACACCAGGAGGGATCCCCATACTTTAGAGACACCTTCACAGCTACAGCACTGTGCCCCCACAGACTTTACCTCCCTCTTTTTAACAGAAAGATGAGTACTTCTGGCTGCAGCTGGATCAGGCAGAGCATGCTGCTTGGCATGGGAAGCTGTAAGGGCATAACCCCAAAGAAATCTCTTCATCCAGCACCCACTCACAATGCCCTACTAGCCTTCCCAAATACAAGATCCTTCCCTGTACAGCAGCAAGAGCCACAGAAAGAAGCCAAAGCCAGTGGCTCTGGCATCCAGAAACAGTGGCCCACCCCACCGAAGCCTCGGGAGGGCTGGATAATACTCCTCAGGCAGATGGGAATCAGCAGGGCAAAGCCCTTTGTCAGGAGCTGGTGTGATCACTGCTTCCCTCAGACAGCAGCTAGCAATTTACTGCAAAAAGTGGGAATTCAGTGCTTTTAACCATGGAGCCATTTTTCAGACCACACACCTGCATCTCTACAACAAACTGAGGAAATTCGTAACATGCTTCACAAGAAGGGAGATCTCATGCCTTCCTGTCTAGCAGATCTTTTTATTTGTAGCCAGGACTTGACCCAGCCCCTCCCAACTTCTGCAGCTGTTTTGCAGTCAGGAGTGCCAAGAAGTGCTAACATGCTGTGCTTAATAGAAAGAGATTTCCTCAGTGTTTCGTAGGGGATGGGTTTGCTTTTCTGGTGTGTTAATAGGTTACTTATGGACTCCTGCAGCTGGTAGAGACGATCCAAAGGGCACAGTGAGGAGTTAAATGCCACAGGTTATTTTACCTCATTAAAATCATTGATTTGATGACAGAAAGTGGTTACCTGTGTATGTCCTGTTGGGCTTTCTGTAGGGATAAGACGGCTGAATGAATTTCCTTCAGGTGATTCATTTCCTTCCCGCACTGCGCGCACAGACTTTCAAACCCTGCGGCAAAGTATTGAAGTACATTATGTTTTGCATCGCCATCTCTGGTGGTAGTGATGAAACACGACACAGATTCACCCAGCAAGTGGCTGGCTGTGATCTAACTGTCACAGCCAGGGGGGACACTTTCAGGAGGAAACATGAGCAGGAGGAGACAGGGAACAGAACCATTCACCCCGAAGACTCAGGCCACTGGAACGCCTCCTGTGACACTGGCCTGGGGCCCCTTCTCATTCAGCTCTCAGGAAACAATTTTTGCAGCATGCTCCCTAGCTGAGGGGAGGAGAATGGAATGCTCGCACCTGCCCCCATGTCTGAAACACTCAAGGTCACCTCTTAACAAAGGCTGAGAAAAGGGAATGAGAAACAAAGCCTGTTTCGTATCTGTCGACTGGAACGTCAGTGTACTTTTTTACTGTTTGTGCCAGGAGTTGAGAAGCCCTTGCTGGCATGGCATGTGTAAGGCAGAAAGAGAAGCAGTATATACAGAGAACAGAAAAGTTGAACATTCTCTGTGTTTGCCTGTGGGCTTTGGGCCTGTGGTATTAACTGGGCTGGAAAATGTTCCCAGGCTGGCTCAAGGGATAAGGTACCAAGGGAAGAACATAAAAGTATGTCCCAGTGATACCCAAATACTTGCCATCATCATCTGAGAGCTCCTGCACTGACTCTGGCGTTGAACAGCTGCTCTCTGTGTTCTGGCTGTGGTTGGACGGCTGATGACTGGTTTTGCGGCGCCTGCAGTCTTTGGCAGACCTCTGGATAAAACAGGGATTGAAAGAGACTCAGTCATTATCAAATGGAAGTCTCGTGTTCAAACACAATGATTCAGGGTGCTGGGGAGTACCTGTGAGATTGTGAACTTTGTTTGCTTTCTCAGCAACTCCCACTAGCTGGACTCCTGGCACTACTTAAGGATATTACACACATGCCCTGGACAGAAGCATTTCCCCAAATGATAGCATCCTTATACACCCATCCAAATTATTCTTGTAGCTTTAACTGACATGTACCAGTGATGAACCTTACAGTGCTTTTGTGCTGACTTGTGTACCCACTCAATCAGGGACACATGAGAAAGGATGAAAAGAATAAAAAAATAGAATCACATTTCCCAGGGAAGATTTTTCAGAAGGATTTAAACATTGCAGAACTGTTATGCCTAATTTCTTGCTGCACTTGGGAAAGCTTCTTTGTACCTCTCAGGTGGGTAAATCAAACACATTGATTCAAACTTCTCACTGGAAAAAAGCAGTTATGAACCTCAACTTCCCCACTGCTACAGAGACATTCAGATTTGGGGTATTACAAGAGAAAAGTCTACATACATAGTAAGATACAAGATTTTCAGTGTAATGTGGGTTATATCTAGCTAGTTCAGCAGTTCTACATTTACAAGGCATTTTATGAATGACACATATCACTCCAAAGATGAGAGCAATGAAATAAGAAGTATCATCTCTGTTTAAGGGAAAGGATACAGAGAGGTTTCTTGTCCTGTCTGAGAGAAAGTAAGTGATAAAGAGTGAGGGCAAAGGTTGAAATATAAGTTGCAGAATTAAAGTTTGCTGTGTATTCCAGAACCTTGCTCACATCCTCACTGTGGGAAGTTTTCTGCTTCGCAAACACTGAACAGTGAAGTTTAGCTCAGTCATGTGTAAAACCCAGTATAAGAGTCACTGTCACTAACATCGGGTGGAAGAAAAATGCCAAAATGGATAGAATATGTCAAACAATAATTATTTGACATTAATGATGGTATGTTGCAGGTCTATAGTCATAAGCTACATTTACCCAAACCAAACTTTTCAGCCTGTGCTCTGCTTATATGAAAATCCTTGAGAAAAAGGCTGTGTATCTAAACAACCATAAAAAATACAATATCCCCCAAAACAGGCTTTTTACCTTGTGCCGTGTAATCTGATTGTTTATGCAGGTTGTTTCGTGGTTTGACATCCTTGTGGATAAGTGTCTTTCCATTGTCTGAAGTATTCCATTCTTCTCAAATTGGGCAATGTCATTCAAAGGATCCCAAGGTCTTAGACTTTTGAGACCGAATGAAAAAGAAAGCCACATCAGAAAAGCAAGAATCCTACACCAGGTGTGTTAGGACCAATACACTAATTCCACATGCATCAGGGCAGGCATTCATCCCTGACAGAGTTTCTAGATGCAGTGACAGGAGTAACACATACTTCCCTCCACATTCACAGTTCCTTGAAATAGAATCATAGAATCATCAGGGTTGGAGGAGATCTCTAAGATCATCGAGTCCAACCATTAACCTGCCACTGCTATAACACCTAAACCCCAAACCATATCCTCCAGCGCCAGATCCAGATCCATCTTAAACACTTTCCAGGATGGTGACTCCACCACCTCCCTGGGCAATGTATTCCAGTGCCTGAACACCCTGATAGGGAAAACATTTTTCCTAACATCTAATCTGAATCTCTGAATCTGAATCTCTTTACCTGAATAAATGTCTAGAGACAGAACCACTGTCTCTAGAGACTTCACCCTTCTTGCCAGGGGAGAACACAGTAGTTGACTCTGCTTACACATCGCAGAAAATCTCTGCTACATGACTCCACATTTGACTGCAGCAATAAGGATTAGTACCAATGGCATAGTGAATTTTCCATTGCCAAGCCCTCATTTCCAGCTATTAGCCATCAGTATCAGAAATATGTATCTAATGATGACATGAAGCTCAGAAGGGCAAGCTCTGGGTGTAGTTTGGGGAATGGCAAGACTCCAGCTACACATCCATAACCTTGCTTGCCACCCTGGGGACCAAGCAGCGAGGTCTATTCGTATCGCCCAACCCCACCACTCACTCCTCGTATTTGTAGCGCCATTCGTTGGTCGCGGCGTCGTGCTGGAAAAGGAGTGGCTTCCATTCTGTGCCAGATTCTCTGCGCTCCCGGGCAGCATTCCTCTGCTCCTCTTCCAGCACAAACTTTTCCTGCGTTGCCTTGTGTTGATCACCTTTGTTTATTGCACTGGTAACGTGCTGCCAAAGCCTAGAAATAAACAGGAAAGTCAAATCCACCTTAAAACCAACAGTGTATTTTGCCAGCTGGAACTTTAAGAGCAGACACTTGTCTGGTCTATTGACACTGTACCAGGATTGCTCAGCTGCAGTTTTGGCTTGTAAATTAGAGGAAAGTTACGAGAATGGCAACACTGATTGTTGTATGCAATGACCTACTGAAGTATAGGGAACTTTCCCTTAGATAACATCACCCACAATATTCATTAAATTCTTCAGTGCTGTCTGTGTGAGTTATAAGATAGTTTTGCTCAATTCACCAATGCCAGTGGCCTCTTTGGAGGTGACTGATGGAGAATCTGTTTTCTTCCTTACTCTTCAGTCATTTCTGTATAGGAGCTTTTGTGATAATGTCTATCCCGAAAACAAAGGCTTTATATTTAAACTTTAGGAAGTACTGGAAAATGAATTCATGTGCCCATCTTTTAGTTGCACATGCAAGGTTGTACTCCTAGATAGGATTAGTGACCAGATCTGTAGGAAGCTGATTCAATCTGCAAGCAATGGACATGTTCTTGTGCTCACAAACTGCAGGCATGAATACAGGCTTTCACTCGTGCTTGTTTTCAGCTGCCAAAGGATATGTGATCTGTTATATGATGTCTCACTGAGTCTCTGCCCTGGGGAGAGGATCTGCCTTTTACAAGAGAAAAATCATTACCTTTTTTTCACTATAGCCAAGCTGTGATAGGCCTCTCCACAATCCCTCTAATCAGAGCACTGTAATCTTCATTTCAGATTGGAAATACTTCCGAGACTAGCAGCTAGTCTTCCCAAAACATTACCGAGTGGTTTAGTGGTTAGAATATGCACAGGAGATCCAGGCTGTTCCAGTATTCCCAGCTCCACAGAACACCCATCCTCCATTTAGAAGATGAATACATTGCTGCATTTAATCTGGAGCTTGCTGTGAAGCTCTTAATTTAAAAGGGATACAGATACTCATTTGGAGCTGAGCTCAGCTGCCTGTGGGAGGCTCTCACAGCTGCCCGGGGCAGACCGCACTCACTGGCGGGAGATTTAAACTGCCCCAAGGAGTGCTTCGAACAGCAACAGGCACATCAGTGAGGGCAATTAGCGTGGCAGTTCGAGCAGGAAGGGTCACAGCCACTATGCCTTTTTTTTTCTTTGTTTTTGCTCTTTTCTTTTTTCTGCAGCTCAGCTAGACCCAGCAATGGTATCTATGTGAGCGAAAACTGTTGCTGCTGCTGCTACCAGGAAGAATGTTCTAACACAGGCAGAGCCCTCTGTGCAGGACACAGCTGTTCAGGTCACTGGCTGCACGGGAGTGCCTTGGTCTGGTGCTAGTTTCAGAGGACAGTGTGAGTCACACCTGCATATGATGTGAGCAGGTGAATGATTCGCTGTGCATGGTGGCAGAGCTCAAGGAAGAAGTAGAGAGATTAAGAAGCATTAGGGACAGTGAAAGGGGAATAGGCTGGTGGAGTCACACCCTTTCGAGCCCAAAAGAAGTAAGCGGGGAAAGCTCTGCCCCTCCTGCCATCAGGCAGAGGGAGAAAAACAGGTAGATGGTGGGGAATGGAAACAGGTCTCTGATGGAAGAGGTAAAAGAATCCCCC